CAGTTCCAAAATAACACTCTAAAGAAAAGATCCTTTATTATGTGATGGCAATGGATAGCAGGAATATCATAAGCCCCTCTTACCAGCCACTGAGAGCTATTTGCATTCCAATAGAGCTTCCCAAAGCAGCAGTGCTTTAATCCAGATGGCACGAAGGACTAATTCTTGTTAAGGGTGTGGTAAACCATACCTCATATGTAACAGATTTCTATCCCTTGGAGACTTGGGCCAACTGACAACTCACAGAGAAATTTACAGAGCAGGATTCAAAGACTGGTGGTGAGTGGAGAATTTGTGTGGCCACTCCCAGCTCAGTCCTCCCCAGTGCTATCTCTCGACCAGAGCTATCAGCTATGGGAAGGATTTCAACTGTTCCTATGGAGAAAACAACCTAACCTGCTCAGTGCTGCTAGATCCCCTGCCAACTAGGTCCTTGATTTTGAATCTACCCTTCAAAGCTTGCTTATGTGCATGTTAGCTACAAAAGCAAAAACTATAACTTTTCAAACCCTGAGCTTCATTTTCCTTAGGAAAGTTTTTAATCAGAAATACAATGCAGTAAATTACATCTTCTTTCAGCAATTTAGTTTTCAGCCTTGTTTTTCAAACCAACTTTTGTGCTTGAGGTTAATGTTGTTGCCTGAGGTATTGAATGAATATTGGAAATTTGACATCGAAGACAAAAGACAACAAATAAGAGAAGAGGAGAATGGAACCAAGAGTTGATTGAAGGCTAGGGATAATTTGACTATGCCATGAAAATAGCAAATACAGAATGAATTAGACCTTTTGCATCAGAGCTGTCTAACAAGCAGCTTGTTAGTTAAATAAGGCTCTCCATAAAGCATATTCTGACTAGCATTTCCCAAGATGCCCTGTTCTTCAGGCCAAGCTCCAAACATTTAGAGGATTCAGCATTTAGTTAAAATGGAGAAGCAATTCCTTTGGGGTTGCAGCTTTAGCATAGTGACAGCAGGTAGACAGCTTGGCAGCAGCCTTTATTCCCCCAGAGAGCAGGAAGAGAGAGACTTGTGAGGGGTTATCTCCCTCATATGTGTTTTTTAAGTCATATTGGACATGCCCATCTAAGTTCAAGTTATCTTGCTCTAACCAATAGCAGCAAGGAGACGTCCTTATTCTTATTTTTGAAGGTACAAAGAAGCAAAGCTGCCCATCCATGTCTGTGAGTCAAAGGAGAGCCCCAGGCAATGACGACAAGTATGTGCTCCCTGCCTTTGAGGGTACCTGAGCGTGTACATGTACACAGGCATACAAAACCAACACAGAAGACTGTTCCACTGGGCTCATACCTGCTCTACACATGTGCAAGGCCAGCTTCAGGACGGTCTAAACACTAGCTTCTCTCACCTGTCTGGCTTAAAAGGTTTTGAAGAGTTCTATATATGACTGAATGGAAAAACTTTCCGAAAAAGACAAGCCCTTGAAGGACTAGAATTCAGGTTGAGGGTCGTTTTGATGTGGCAGAAATGTAAGAACACAAATGCTTCTCCAAGACAGGCCAGTGACAGGCCAAGTAAGACTGCCTGATTTAGATAGATGGTGATTTGAAGAAGCCAAGGGGAGGAAACAGGGAGATGCCACAATGGGAATAAAGAAAGATACAAAAAGGAGGATTGTGGTACTCCTAAAGGCAGCCCTCACCATACATATATCCATAGTCAGCTAGGATCTAACCTTGGAAAAAGATGATTTACATAGGATCATTTGCCTATGAGCAGCATCATCAGAACAAGTTATATAAATAATTTTAGTGGCTGTGTGAATCAGGGAAAGCAAAGCAGAAATAAGACTACCATCCATAATTAAAGAAAACATTTAGTTTAGTAGCCAGGAGTGCACAAACTAGTGGCTGAGCTGAACAAAGTGGCACACTACAATGAGCTGACCAAGAATATATATGAGGGCTCCCTAAGGGCCATTTGGAGCTGGTATAGCCTAAGGAAGTGAGTAAGCTCAAGAGCTTTCTTTTTGAATTGGAGAGTTTGCCTGCAATGTAGATTTTTTTTCCCTGGGTTTCTGCATGCAGTGTCAGTCAAGATTACTGAAAATTAAAAAGAATACTTTAATACTGTCCCCAAATGTAGACAATTTATACTGACACTGGATGACTGATATTGGTCAAAGATTACAGTAAGTACTGGTAATCCAGGAATAAAAGGAGCTACGAGTTATTCTTGTGAAAAATGGATGACACAGAGTGTGTAAATAATGGGAGCAAATGCAGCAAGATACAGGGAATCTTAGAACATTTAAAGGCTAATACATTACAAAGAGAGTTCAATACTGATAAATGTAGAATCGTAAGTTTTATGGGGCTTTATCATATGCTGTAAGTTGGTGTGGATCATAAAATATGAAGAATAAAAAAGTAGGGGAGTTGAGAGACAAGTCTGCACATTATTTATGAATGATGAAGAGTGAAATGAATGAGAAGAACAAGTAGACAATGTCTTGAATAATGATGACTTTGATGAGTCGTTATCACACAAATCTGTGTGCTTCATAAAATATGAGGAATAATAAGGAGAAGAGTCAAAAGACAAGTCTACTCAGAATGAGATACAGAATGAAGGAAGTGGGGAATACAAGGGAAATGCACAGAATAATGATAACTTTTATGAGACTTTCACTCACCAGCCTGAATTCTTCATAAATATAAGCCATATAGAAAATAAAAGAGCAGCAAAAAGAAGAGACAGGTCTGTGTCTGCCATTAAATATGAGAAAATAATGCCAACGAGGCTTGACAAAATAAAAACAAAAATAATTGCGCCTAGTACATCTGTGGAAAGACAATATCTAGATTAATGTGAGCAAATAAAATGAGGGAGAGTGGGATTGTCTTGCCCATAGGATATCAGCAAGCACCTAGGTCGACATTAATGTTGCAAAAGCCACCTTGTTGACTGGTGGAGGCTCCTAAGTTTGCAAATACTCACCCCTGCCACGTCCCCAACAACATTTTATGCTCGGGAAACAATGTTTAACTAATTTCTAAATGCTTTGACCTCAGTAACACACAGTCTCTTCTGGCTGCAATCCCTATAGAGTTTGCCAGAGATTTTCTCAGCTTGTTTCTGCTTAATCTATACCCTCCTTGTCAAATGTTGCTTTGTAAAGACCTCTGAAAGGTTACTGTATAAAACCAGAGACATCCTCTTAGTATTCACTTCTTTTTTCATTGGACTTAGAATCTGGGACCTGATCTGTCAGGATTAGTTCAAAACCCAGACCTCAGTGACTTCAAATGTCTTCTCTATTATGACAAATGGGATTTTAAAATTATAAAGAGGCTTGGAAAATCAGACATGGCAATGCAAGTGCCAATATGCCATTTGCATGTCATACTGAACTATGATTTACATAATTCATAAAATGGACAACTCGCTAGAAACAAAAAAGCTACTGATCTATGTCACAGACCTAGAAATGTTGGTCTGACGGCTCGGAATACACACAAACACTAATATCAACAATTATACAAGCTCACCATTTTGTAATACTTAATGCCTTTTAATTTGTATTGGAGAAAAATATTGCAGGATAAGTCATATTAACATAACTTATAACCAATTCCTCTGATTGCAACAGAATTTAGTAGTGAGATTTATTGGCTAAAACACATAAAACAAAATTTTAGTGGTAACTGTCCTTTGCTTATCTAGAAATGATAACCTCAAATGATCTTTGTGACCATCAGTCTGAACATTTGCCTCACCTTGCCGACTCTGTTAGAAAAATGTAATATCTCAGGGTGGAATTATTAGAGGTACTCTTAGAAGCCATGTTTGTCCAAGTAACGTGGCCACTTTTAATCCAGCATTGAGCTTCTCTGGATAACCTACTTGGTGAAAAAAAATCCTACTTGGTGAAAAAAATGACATTGATGACCCTAGGAAAAATCATTGACCTTGTTCAACCTTCCACAACCCTGCAAGCTCTAACTATAAAATCCATGTCCAAGAGCTCAGGACTGCCAAGATTAGGGTTAGACTGTAGTGAAAAAGCTACCCCTGCCCAAATAAAAATGTACCTGTGAAAAATTCTTGCTTGGGATTTATCCCAGGAACCTCTTCTTTACTGCCACACTCCTGGAAATTGTTAGAGTTTGTCAGCCAGGCTAGAGCAGAAAGCTGTGGACATGAACCTGGAAAACAACCCTATGAAGGGACTAGTTTAATGGAATCCCATTCTTTGGCAAGAATGAGACTCATCTATTTAAAGGGAAAATGTCCTGACATGATTTATTTAAAGTAGGAAAGAAAAATAGGATACTGTAATCAGGGATTATATATCTCTTTTGCAGACTTTAACTTAAAAGTTCACCCATCTAAGTTTGGTTGGTTGGTTGGTTGTTTTCCCAGAAAAAAAAATTGGCAGTAGATATCAAGAGCCTTAAAAATGTTCATATCTATGTATGTAAATGTATATAAAATGCACACAGCAATTGGATACTGTTATCACTAGTGACAGGACCAGGAAGTGAAACAGGGGTTGTCAGCAGGGACTTCAGTCATGTCTACATTGTATTTATGAATTAACTAATGTAATTAATTTTAATGAGAGAAAAATATCCTTCCCAAAAAAATGATAAAAAAAATTTGTTGCAGAAAAAATTAAGAAAAAAGAATGTCCTAAAATAGAGAGTGGGTTAGCAAATTTATGGAGAACTATTTCAAGAGTATATTATATGATAACAAAATGGGGTAGTAAAGAGCTCCTAATTTTACTAGATAGTGTTGATACTTGTACTGTTCACTTAAAAAAGTCCAGGATTCTGAACTTTATCTCATATCATTGAATTTTAATGGGTAAAAAAGACACAAATACCCTCCTCCAAAATGTTATTGATAGTTATTACTGGTAAATTGAATTGTTTTCTTTGTTATCTTTGTGTTTTCCAAAGTCTCTATAACTTCACTTCTAAAATTTAGTTTCAACATGCTTTTTTTAAATTTGTCTTTGGTTTTGTGTTGCAGGCGTGCCTGTGTGATTCGAGGCCAAGTGGTGGCAGTAGATGGAACTCCTCTAGTGGGTGTCAATGTCAGTTTCTTGCACCACAGTGATTATGGGTTTACCATCAGTCGACAAGATGGAAGGTATGTCACTGTTGCTTCAGATCATTAAGGGGGCCAAATACTGACTTTTAGCCATGGACAAAATCAGGGCTTGGATGACAGAGTGATAGTAAACCTATCTTCCATCCAGCTGTAAATGGAAAAGATATTGATGATATATATTTCCCCTATTCATCATCTGAATCAAGCCAAATTTCTCTTCTACCCTTTCAATATTACTATCATGTCTTCTTGAAACCCTGACCATGTGGGAAGTTTTCTATCCTTCATCTAATTCCATTTATAAATCCAACTTCAAAGTTCAGTAAGATGATTCTGGCAATAAATAGGGAAACACAGAACACGTAGGCTATTCTTCCACAGCAGCCCCAAGATATTTCAGAAATGAATGTATACAAAAGATTTCTTCCAAGAAAACCTCTTAAAATTTTTCATTTTATATGTCCTTTCTAGGCTGCCTATCTGGCTAGTGACTACAAATGATTGACAGACATGGCCAGCCTATATAACTATAGGGCTTTAACCTTAAGCACCAACTACCAGGTTGCTCTCTAAGGGATTGTCAAGGTTCTCTGGAACCTGAGAAGCAACATGTCTAAGTAAAACCTTTTCATCCTGGAAAAGCATTTGCTCTCTCCCTCGCTCCCTCTCCCTCCCTCTCCCTCCCTCTCCCTCCCTCTCCCTCTCTCTCCCTCTCTCTCCCTCTCTCTCCCTCTCTCTCCCTCTCTCCCTCTCTCTCTTTCTATCTCTCTCTCTCTCTCTCTCTCTCTCTCTCACACACACACACACAGAGGACATTTTTATTGCTGTCATTTAGATAGACATTTGTTCAGAATATTTGAGTCAATAGGCCCACATGTCCAGCTTAAAGGTACCTATTTATGACTCTCAGAAACACTGTAATAATGGCCTTGAGGCGCTCTAGTCTCCAGGTGGCTATCCTTAAAATATCCTACTTATAACAAGCTACTTCAATGCTTACAAAGAGACCTGTTGACTTGGAGATTTAGCACAGTGTGAGAGACCATCTGATTTCAAGAACCTACAATCAAACCTTATTAGTCCTAACCACTTGAGAAATGTTAATTGTTTGACTTGGGCTGTGCTGAAATTATTTTTTCAACTGCCTGTCAAGAAAGTGCTTATAAAAATTAGTTTAAAAAGATAAGGAAGAATTTTAACCTACTTAAGAAAACAGACTGTTTTTAAGGACTTCAGTAAACTATATGAATTACCTACATGTTATATTGCTAATTACTAGCTAGCCATCTATTCATTATTATAACACAGAATTTCTTTTATAGCAGAATATATGCAGACTACATGGTGATATATATTTCCTTTCAAATATTCTATTATTGGACTTTTCTCCCAATAAAACTGAATGATAGAATTTAGGTAGTTCAGTCACTAGTAACTGGCACACAAAACTAGCCTCACCCTTGCCAGTATCTTCAACCACGTGCTATAAATTGAGAAATGTGAGAAATGGATTGTTTATTTTTTGTTAAAGATTTATGTTCTTTTTTGGGAGGCAGGGAGAGAGAGGGAGAAAGGGAAAGAGAGAGGGCGGGAGGGAGAAAGAGAGAGAGATCTTTCATTTGATGATTCACTCCCCCAGATGGCTAGGGAGGACCCATCTGAAGCCAGGAACTTGGAACTCTATCCAGGTATCCAACATGGGAGTCAGGGACCAAAGTACTTGGGCCATCTTCTGCTACCTTCCCAGGTACATTAGTAGCAAGGAGCTCAATCATAATTGGAGCAGGGACTCGAACTGGTGCTCATAGGGGATGCTGGCATCATAGGTAACAGCTTAACCTGCTACACCACAACGCCAGCTCCAGAGAAATGGGCTATTTCCTTAAATAAAGATGCCTTCTGAGACATTTGACTTCTCATGGAGACCTGCTGGGCCCTCTGTTTCTTTTGTTTTTGTTTTAGTTTGCATGCAAAGGATTAAGTGAATTATCTGTTATTCACAAAAAGAATCTAATAGAGTCATTATGCCTAAAATATCTAAAAATTTCTGCCTCCAGTTTACAGAGAACATTTGTTGTCATTTTCACATTTTTGGTTTTAAGTAGAATACCAAGACCTTCTTCTCCCGAGCCGTCTGTGAGAACTAGGTTTATATAGGTGACAGATAATAGCCAGAGTCCCCTCTGGCAATAAGTCTCCCTCAGGCTCCAAAGACTTTGTAAGTATTCAAAATATGTACCCCAAATGCCAACCAGACTGTCCCCCTGTTATTTCTTGGACATAAAGTGACAATGTGATGAGAGTTGACATTTATATGTTTCAGCTTGTTGCTACCTCAGATTGAGTAAGTATATTTCAAAAGTAGAAAATCATAAGGAAAACATGCCTGAGAGTAAAGGAGTATGAAAAGGCTGAGGTTAGTATTTAGCTAGCTTAGTAGACAGAATGTGGTATGCAAGATGTTAAGAGGGTCCTCTGTCTCCAAATGTCAACTCTCCAGTCTACAGCAGTGTTTGTAATGCTCATCAATGGTATCACTGCTTTGGATTAACCTATTAATGCTCTCAAAGTCTATATTAAAGGCAAATATGTTATGTGGGTTGTACAACTATTTAACTCCATTGTCAACCACTTAAAAAAGTTCATTGACAACTTTATCTTGAGAACAAAGGCCCAGAATGTGGGACAAAAGTCTTGTGTATAAAGTAGAAGGCTGTGATGGACTGCTGAGTCCTTTTTAAGTCTAGCGGGAGGAGGCATTTGCCTAGTGGTTAAGACCCTCGAGTCCCACTGGAGTGTCTGAGTTCAGTTCCCAGCTCTGGCTCCGAACTCCAGTTTCCTGCCAGTGCAGACTCTGAGACACAGAAGTGATGGCCCACATAATTAATTCTGTTCCTCCCACCTGCAGGGAGAACTGTATTATATTCCTGACTCCTGATTTTGACCCCAGCCCAGCCCTGGCCATTGCAGACATTTGGAGAGTGACTAGCAGATGGAAGATCACCCCACCCTCATCTAACTGTCTCTGTCTCTGTCTCTGTCTCTGTGTCTTTATATCTCTCTCTCCCTCTCAAATAGTTTTTTATAAAGTCTGAAGTTTGATTTTCAGATAGAAAAGGGCCAGCATAACAGAAAATAAAATAAACAATTCTGAAGGAGAAACAAATACTTATGAATGTCTACTCTATGTCAAACACTTTTTATTAATGTCATCCTAATTTTATCATCACGAAGACTCTATGCTATTGGTAATCATTATTATCATTATCCTCATTTGGTAGATGACAAACATTATCTAGATTAATACAGTTCTTCTAGGTAGAGCTCAATATTTTAGCCCAAGTAGCCTGGCTCTTATTATCTATGATTTAACACCTTTAACTTAGATATAAGAGGGAATTTCAGAAAGTTCGTGGAAAATGGAAATAAAGATAAGTTTATTTTAGTGCAGCAGATTTTCAAAATCTATACATAGTTTTTTCATAATATACATTTCCATGAATGTTCTGAGGGTCCCTCATATAACTGATACTTAGTAAAGTGTTGAAAGAAAACTACTTAAAATAGTTTGGCTAATAAGCACAATAGGTGAAATGATAATGACTTTCTTAAATGAGCAGTGTTAAGAGTCTCAATAGCTTTGTTCTAAAGGCTAGAAGATGAAGAGAGGCCCTGTCTGAGTGCCCTCAAAGCAAAAGTTGGTTCATTTATAAAGAAAGGAAGTCAGAGATAAGCATTTTGCATTGATGATATTGGCCTCATTTTATCAATGAGACAACTGCAGCTTATGGAGTTCAAATAACTAGCTCAGAAACACAAAGTTAGCATGGTAGAGCTGAGATTAGAACACACATATGCGTGAAGCCAAACCAATATTCTTTCCACAAAACAAGATGCCTGCTCAATCTTGCTAGCAGTATGAAAAAATTCCTAGCTACATATGTTTTTGTTTGGATAGGTTTTTTTCATTTTTGTGTTTGTGTTTGCTTTATTGTTTTTAAATAGATAAGCACTTCACTTTTAAGGAGTCAAGAGTCAAGGTTTGTGTGAAGCAAATAAACTTGCCCAAGGGCATAGAGTTAAATCAACATAGAAAGTGAACTAGAGGGAAGGTTTCTTGACAAGTAATGTTGGATTTTCACAACTACTCTTGCCTTAAACTGCTCCGATATTATCATGAATTCAGCCTCTCTGTCTTAAACCATAAGCTGTTTGCGGGTTTTTTTTTAGTGCAAACCTAGATTATTTTCTATAGTTAATGCAGTTCTTGAAATCCTCTTTTTGGAAACTGCCTTAATGTTACAGCTACCTCACTGAAAAGCAGCCATAAAAAATACTGTATTATCCATCTTTTGCTACTATCCATTTTTCTTTATTTGGAAGATTTCTGCAGCAAGACACAATTGGAATTATTAAACTAAATATCATAAATATCATATAAAGGGTGTGATGAGATGTCCATAATTAAGTCTGATTCCCTATCAGGGCTTCTTATCATTGAAAACATGTTTTACTGAAATATCTTTTTCAATGTACAAAATTGCTTACATCTCTCTCCTGTGGATTTAAGTTGCTTTGAATATTAAGATCATCATATTGCCCTTCATCCATTTTTAAGATCTAATGATAATAATTTATCATTATCTTATATCTAAATAGTATTTCATGCTTTTCAAATGCTCTCAAGTACATCATCTCAAAGAATGTCATTATAGTTAAAAGAGAAATAAGGTAGAATCACCTAGTGCAGAATGAACTGAAATCTGAGTCTGTTACGCTCCAATGCAACAGTCTTGGTAAAGGCCACATGTGGGAGTGGACAGAGTTGGCTTATGTGAGATAGCCTTGCTGTGGTCAGAGATATAGGAGGAATTGTAGGTAGAGTTGGGCAGGGCCCATTACAGGCTGTCCAAAAAACAAAGCAAGAAACATTCTGGAATGAACTCTAAATTTATAAATCTAGCATTCAAATCTAACAGGGAGCCCATAATGGTAGTCAATGTGGAGGGTTTCAGCATGACATGGTTCAACCAAATTCCATGGAACAAATTTCCTCTGCTGGTATCCTTCTCCAAATGCCATCTCAAAGACACCATCTTGCTTCTAATACTATGTTTGTGACCTTGAGCAAGATATTTAACCTTTTGTCCCCTTACTTTTCTTATGTTACACTATAGGAATTTTTTTGAGGATGAATAATGCATTATATACAAGATGGTGCTGAATGTTAAATGCTCATCTTTAACACAAGAGGAAATAGCAATGTCAGACTGGGTTGTCCAGCAACCCATGCAGTGATTTTAAGAGTGTTAAAATTGGTTTACAAATTTCTGGTGGATATCAACTAGTAGTATGGAATTTCTTTTTGGTAGTGTACCAGATAGTGAAAAGAAGTTATCTATGGAATGAATATTTAGCTAGAGGGAATTTACAAAATAGAGAATACAAATGTGTATAGCTGAGTCCTGAAAGAAAAAAAAAAGGACACTGAAATTAATCCAATTTTTTAACTTTAATTTTACTTTGGTTGTTCATTTGGTTGAAACTCATTTTTTTTCCATTTCAGCTTTGACCTTGTAGCTATCGGCGGTATCTCTGTCATCTTAATCTTTGACCGGTCACCCTTCCTACCTGAGAGGAGGACACTCTGGTTGCCTTGGAATCAGTTTGTTGTGGTGGAGAAAGTAACCATGCAGAGAGTTGTATCAGACCCACCATCTTGTGATATCTCCAACTTTATCAGCCCAAACCCTATTGTGCTTCCTTCACCACTCACATCATTTGGAGGATCCTGTCCAGAGAGGGGAACTATTGTTCCTGAGCTGCAGGTGAGTATATTGGCCTTAAAACAACAACAAAAAAAATGATAGTACCACAGGGTCGTCAACAGTTTATAGTGGCTACGTTTCTTTTCCTGTTATTCCTACCAGCTCTATAATATACTGCCTTTTATCTGTGGAGAGAGGCCTTCAAATGCAGTCTCTCTGGACCTGTCCAGGGAGAGTGGCATTGGGCATTCTGTTGCCAGGGCATTAAGGCATTCTTTGTGTGGCCATGGAATAGCAAGATGAACTAGCTGTCATGAAAACTAAACCCCAAACCTTGACTTAATAGACACCACACTGTACAAATCTACCTGGCTTAATGGTGGTAACAGTATAACCAATAAGCTTGGACTATTTGTGGTTCTGAAATTAAAGCTCCTTAAGAAATCTAGTTTTCTCCCTTTGTCTAGCTTACATTTATTGTTACTGTTCTTAAAAGTCATGACTACTCTTCTTGTTTAGCTGTGTTTAGTAAAGTGATTTTTAAGCCTGTGGGTTTTTTTTTTTAAATAAACCTTTACTTCTGAGTATTCAAGCTTTTATAGGTAGGAGAAGACATTTGTGAACGTTTATATTTTAGTATCCCAGAGAATTCTTCTTTAGTGAGCATTCAATATTGTCATTTCAGTATTAAGTCATTCAGACAGCCACACTGAAATTCTCTTACCACATTATAGAAACATTTTTTTAAAAAAATATATGGAAACATTTTAATCATGGCTAAATGTGGAAGCCACCAAAATGGACTCATTTCTAAAGATTCAGAAATAAAGAAGTATTCTCAAAGAAAGGTAAATGGATACTCCAAGATCAAATTGATTTTTCCTCTATCTCAACATCCCTACCAGCTATTAGCAGTGTCTAGACGATACCACTTAGGAGAAGCTCCCACAAAACACTCAAAGTGCTCTACAGGAAAGGCATCCAATGAGGTGCCCCTCTTGTTCTTCCCACTGCTATTCCTTATAAAGGAGGAAAAACAGCACAGCATTTAATAAGTACTTTGAATTGGTACACCGCTCCTCCATAGATACCATGAGGAAGTACAGGTCTTCTTTCAGTACCAACATTTTCAACCTTATTTTAGATTGCATGTTTCCTTAGGAAAATGAAATACTAAGGTGGTAAGTGTCATGCTATCATTCACTACTGTACTTCTTCCACCATCTGAGAAGATAGCCAATAGACAACTGTGCTATCAAAGGAAAATAAAGAGAAAAAAACGGGCATGGAATACACAAGAGGGATTTGGTCCTCAGATGTAGGAGAATGACCAAAAGTCCTGGACAGTATGACATTCTATGTATTTAACAATCACTTTTGTTGATCAGTTTCTGCCCAGGTTTGGGAAAGTAAGAAGAAACAAAGTTCTGAAATAAAAAATGAATGAGAGCCCAAATCTATTCACAGTATTCATGTCAACTTAAATATGTTAAATAGGATAGGGTTTTTCTTCAGATGTGTCTTGAAGGATGAAAGCCATGGAAAACAAGATTCAGTTTTAGTTACCACTTTTGGTTATTTGATGATTTCTTTGGAAACAAGCAAAAAAGTAATAGCAATTAATTAAATAAGCCAAGTGATATTTTCACTCTAAGATCAACATTTAGTATAAAATTTACACAGGAATTAATGGGAGTTATTTGCTTTTCAGTCACAGGTGCCAACCTGGAGAAACCTGTTCCCAACCTTTGGTATACCCAGGCACAGAGAAATATATAAGAAAAACCTGATTAAAAATTTGGCCTCGAGGTCATTCCAAAGCTCCAAAGAAAATGAATTTGATGGCATCAGTAAAGATTAATTCTAGGGAAACCATAATCTTTGTCATAAAATATCACTTGCTGGGCCTGCTTCTGGAGCCCTTCTTCTCAGGAAGCCTAACCTGAATAAGAATTAGAGCAATGGCTTTGTGATATATGACTTAGCACCAAACAAGATTTTGTGTATGTATATATAAGAAAAAGACCCCTGAACAGCATCCCTAGCCCTGAATTGCTTGACATTCAGCAGTGTGATCTTGCCAACTCCTACTAAGCAATTTGCAGGGCTCTATGGAAAAACTGAAACTGTTCTTTATGCAATCTTTCCTGGCAAGGGAAAAATGAGAACAAGCCTTAGAGTTGACTGAATGTCTTGTCCAAGTGCAAGCCTGGTGCAAAACTTGAAATGTATAGTCACACAATCTCACAAAGATTCAGGAACAAATGCCGTGACATCCATAAATCCCTTTAGGTTTTCTCCATTGGTGTGTTTCTAAGACAATGCAATATCATCATCTACCAGTGACCATTGAAAAGAGCCAATGTGGCTTTTTTTAATTTCTTTCAGGTTGTACAAGAGGAAATCCCCATTCCTTCCAGCTTTGTAAAGCTAAGTTACCTGAGCAGCCGCACCCCTGGGTATAAAACCCTGCTTCGGATTCTTCTGACACATTCAACGATTCCTGTAGGGATGATAAAAGTGCACCTCACAGTAGCTGTGGAAGGTCGACTCACACAGAAGTGGTTTCCTGCTGCAATTAATCTTGTCTACACATTTGCCTGGAACAAGACCGACATCTATGGACAGAAGGTTTGGGGCTTGGCAGAGGCTTTAGGTATGTTGAACTAATTCCATAAAAATAACAATATTATGCTCACAAAACAGAAAATACTAGGTGCATATTATTTTGAGTTTGCACTAACTATTGATTTTTTTTCTAAAAGATCTAAGGTAATTTTTCATTTAAACACTCCCTTTGGACATGTTTAGAGTTCCCTTTTCATATGTTTCTGCTTCAGGATGATTTTAGCTCTCCTTCCATGATGGCTGTAGACCAGTGGAATCACGTGGGGTCTGACTTTGTCTCCAGAGCTGAATGTTGCCTTCTAACTGTGACCTTTGGCGTGGCATTCTTTAGGCCATGTTGTTGGGTTTGACATTTAGACTGTCATTTCCACTTAGAAACTAAAAAAATATAACTTCAATTATTATCTTTTATATCTAAGATGGTTAGACTCCATTAACTTGTTACTTTCGTAGGTTAAATAAAAAAATCATCCTGCCTTCCTATTCCTGAATTTTCTGAATCTCAAAACTTTAAAGCCTAAAATCTTACAGATAACAGGGACCTTATGAGATGCTTTAGGCATGTGGTTTTCAGATATTTTATTTTCTTGAACAAATGGCATTTTTAAAAAAGAACAAGTCTGGAAGTTTCCTAGTTTGTTTGTTTGTTTGTTTGTTTTGGCCAAGTAAGAATATTTGTTTGTTTGTTTGTTTATCTGAAATGTAGAGAAAGAAAGGAATAGATAGCTAGATAGCTCCCATCTCCTGGTTGACTCCCCCAGATGCCTGCAGCAGCTAGGAGGAGGGGCCAAAACTAGGAGTCAGCACTCAATCCAGGTCTCCCGCTTGGGTGATAAGAACCCTGTCACTTGAGCCATCATCATTGCCTCCCAAGGTCTGCATTAGCAGGAAGCTGCAGCCGGGAGCTGCAACTGGGAATCAAAACCAGGTACTCTGATATGGGTCCCAGGCATCCTAACCAGTGTCTTAATCACTAGGCTAAACACCTGCTTCCATAAAACTATTTTAAAAAGAAAAACGAACTTGACCACAATTTATTGTTTCCTACCACTGCCATATTTTCATGAAGGAAGGATGCCTTAACACCAAAAAACAGAAGCAGAACTGTCCTAACAAATCACAGTAAGCAGTGTTACCCTACCCCACAGAGACAGAAAGATGATCAGACTGCAGAAGTCAGTGAAAATTTCATCAAGGTCTGTGGGCCTGCAGATGGGAGCCATTGATCCTTGTGCCTTCGAGCAGTGTCTCATGGAACCCACCCTCAGACAGATGATAAATCTATTGTAAAGCTCTCCAGAGGAGACAATTTCGTGTCCTGCCTTAGAAGTGTCTTTCATGGTACAACTCCTATATAACTGACCTATATGAGGGAATTTTAAGCTTGTGGCAAAATGGAATGAAAAGACAACTTTATTTGGATGAAAAAAATTGAGGGGCTGGTGCTATGGCATGGTAGGCTAAGCTTCTGCCTGCAGAGCCAGAATCTCATATGGGCACCGGTTCAAGTCCCGGATGCTCCACTTTCGATCCAGCTCTCTGCTATGCCCTGGGAAAGCAGTAGATGACATCCAAGTCCTTGGGCCCCTTCACTCAAGTGGGAGACCCGGAAGAAGCCCCTGGCTCCTGACTTCAGATCAGCCCAGCTCTGGTTGTTGTGGCCATTTGGGGAGTGAAACAGTGGATGGAAAACTGTTCTCTCTGTCTGTCCTCTGTCTGTAACTCTATCTCTCAAATAAACAAATAAATAAATTTAAAATCTATACATAGCTCTTTCATAATCTGCATTTCCATGCATTTTGTGAAAACCTCCTTTATTTCCTAGACAACAGTGTTTTTAGTTCCTCTCTTTTTTTGCCAGAGGGTGAAAATAAAAATTAAAAAAAAAAAAACTTGTAACCCTTCTTTGCCCAAGTGACCTGCATATATATTTACATGATTAACTTATCTCTGTTAGACTTCCTTATAATGCGGGAACAATAAACAATAAAGAGCAACAGAGCCTCACAGGCTTGTGCAGGACAAATTGTCGTTCTAGAAGGCCGGCATGTGCTCTGTCAACTCAGCAGAAGTCCTGGTTGTCCTCTTTTTTTTTTTTTTGACAGGCAGAGTGGACAGTGAGAGAGAGAGAGACAGAGAGAAAGGTCTTCCTTTTGCTGTTGGTTCACCCTCCAATGGCCACCGTGGCTGGCGCGCTGCGGCTGGAGCACCGTGCTGATCCGATGACAGGAGCCGGGTACTTATCCTGGTCTCCCATGGGGTGCAGGGCCCAAGCACTTGGGCCATCCTCCACTGCACTCCCTGGCCACAGCAGAGAGCTGGCCTGGAAGAGGGGCAACCGGGACAGAATCCGGCGCCCCGACCAGGACTAGAACCCGGTGTGCCGGCGCTGCAAGGCGGAGGATTAGCCTAGTGAGCCGCGGTGCCGACCCTGGTTGTCCTCTTTGCAGCAAGAGTCCACTACTGGTCACAGTGCTGATGTGATCATCTTTATGATTGGGTTCATCTCTTCCTCTGCCATACAAACTGCTGACATTTTCTCTCAGCTCTTTACCGACTTAAGCCTGCTAGATTACTCTGTATATCACATTCCTATTCCTGTTGGAAAGAGAGTGTCCAGTGAGCATAGTGATGAAGAGAACATAACTCTGGAGCCAGACACCCTCCCTAGATTCAAATCATCCCTTCTCCACATGCTAGCTCTGTGACATTGGGTAATTTACTTCATCTGCAAGTACCACAGTTTCTCTGTCTATAAAATGGATTCCATAAAGATTATGTTACACGTAAGGTTGTAATGACATGACAATTACAGGAGGCAAGTAATATAAAGTGTTTGGCACATAGTAAGCATTCAACAAATATGGGTTGCTGGTATTTTTATTTTCAACTGGGCTGTGCCAGAGTATCAGGATCACATGATAGAAAGCCTGGAGCCTGTAAAGGTGGTTGTTGCCTCAGCTTCTCTATGAAGAGGGCTGTGGGTCTAACAGGCAGGCGATCCATGCTACTCATTCTCCATTTAAAATATTTATTTTTATGTATTCAAAAGGCAAAGAGGCACAAAGACAGAGATCTCCCATCTCTGTCATATGCTAACTTTATGTTTAACTTACTGAGGAACAACCAAACTGTTTCCCATGGCATTTGTACCATTTTATCAACCTTAGTCTATACATGGCATGAGATATATTTTATCTCTGCCTTTTAAATGTCTCCATTGCTAAAGATTTTTAAAACATTCCTCCTTGTTTGAGTTAAACACCATCAGTGACTTAGTTTCAAATATGCCAATGGGTAATTGAGTAAACAAGTAAACTACAAATATTAGAAGAAACTTCCTAGTATGGACCCCAGTGACAAAACCTCCATTCCTATTGTTTTCTTATGGGTATAGGTTTATTTCCTATTTCTTTTTTTTTAATTTTATTTAATGAATATAAATTTCCAAAGTACAGAATATGGATTACAATGGCTTCCCCCCATAACGTCCCTCCCACCCGCAACCCTCCCCTTATCCACTCCCTCTCCCCTTCCATTCACATCAAGATTCATTTTCTATTCTCTTTATATACAGAAGATCAGTTTAGCATACATTAAGTAAAGATTTCAACAGTTTGCTCCCACACAGAAACATAAAGTGAAAAATACTGTTTGAGTACTAGTTATAGCATTAAATCTCAATGTACAGCACACTAAGGACAGAGATCCTACGTGAGGAGTAAGTGCACAGTGACTCCTGTTGTTGACTTAACAAATTGACACTCTTGTTTATGGCATCAGTAATCACCCTAGGCTCTTGTCATGAGCTGCCAAGGCTATGGAAGCCCCCTGAGTTCACTGACTCTGATCATATTTAGACAAGGCCATGGTCAAAGTGGAAGTTCTCTCCTCCCTTCAGAGAAAGGTACCTCCTTCTTTGATGACCCATTCTTTCCACTGGGATCTCACTCGCAGAGATCTTTCATTTAGGTTTTTTTTTCCCCCAGAGTGTCTTGGCTTTCCATGCCTGAAATACTCTCATGGGCATTTAGAGAGTATTTCAGGCATGGAATGCCCGTGAGAGTATTTCCTATTTCTATAATTTTGTTCTTGGTTAAAACTCAGACATTCTCCCTATAAAATGACTTTAAGAAAAATGCTAGAATATATGCTGCTTATTCCATCTTAATCCTAATAACAATGATAAAAGCAGCAGGAGACAATGGACCCAAAGTGGGAGAGAGAAAAAGATGTTGCTCTCTGCACTTGAGGGCCACATTTCTTAGAATGGAGAAAGAAAACTGGCAAGGATCCCAAGGAAAACAGCCCAGAAAATTGCTTGTGTAGTATCTAGGGTGGAGTATGGATTATTTACCTTGTAGAAGATGTCCCTGATAACTTAATAATCATGGTTTTCTGGGGGTTGAAGGGATTTTATTTATTACCTAGTCTTCATCTCAATCTAAGAGAATTTTCTGACAAAGCAAAGTGTTTTAACAGGTGGTAGAATGAAGTTAGGAAATCCACTAAGACGATAGATTCTAAATCCCTTAAGAACACAGTAGACAAGAAATAGTTCAAGTGATGAATGGATGAAGACAAAGGAATCATATACATGATCACTGAGCTGATACCTTAATATCAATGATTGAATCTAAAAAACAATTAATTAAACATTTATTTGTACTCTTGGCTATACTTCATATCACATAACTGTTAAGTGAAGGAACAGAATAAATTTTGCACCAGATATTAATAATACTGCTAAACGTGATATTTTTCAAATTGTTTTGGATTCAGAAATCCTAGTATAGATAGTTGGTAGGCAGGATAATAGCCACCCCACAAAATGCCCATCCTTGGAACTTTTGATTATGTTATATGGCTTGCCAAAAATTAATTAAGGCAACAGATAAAATCAAGTTGTTAGCCAGCTTCTGGTTTGAGATTGGAAATTATCCTAGGTTTTCTGGGTGGGCCTAATGTCATCACAAGGATCCTTTAAAGTGGAAGAAGGAGGCAGAGGGGGACATCAGAATTATAGAA